CCCGTTTCCTCGACACTCGGGCCTCCTCTGCAGCCCCGTCTCCGGACGAGTTAGGAGGAAGTGCTGGAACGGGTTCGGAGGAGGGCGGCAGGCACCGCCTTGCATGTAATCCCTGCGGCGAGGGTTGCAGTTCCCCAACTCTGGAAAAGTGAAGAACCACCCAGGACAAACCGATCCTAAAAAGGCCTTGGACTGTGCAGAAATGGACGGATCGTCTTTGTCTGAAGGAGAAAGCAGATGCTGACTTCTATCAGACTTGGGACTCTTTTTATTATTGGCTAGAGAGATGGGACTTCGTAGAGATTTAAATATGTTTTTAATAAACATTTTTTTCTATCATAAATAGAAAAAAATGTGGGGGATTGACCCAGCGGGCCCAGTGTTTTTTGATGCTTGATGTTGTTTTGAGTTTTTCTTTGTTTTTAGGATTATAATTTCAAATAAAACTTACTTTAAAAAAAAAGGAATGATCCAGGGGCTGGAAACAAAGCCCCGTGAGGAGAGATGGAAAGAGCTGGGCGTGTTTCGCCTTGAGAATCATGGACTCATAGTAGAGTGAGGAGGGGCCAGAAGGCCCGCAGGTCAATGCCCAGCTAAACCGTGCCTCTCAGATGGTACACAGCTTCCTGTTTTGCAACCTGCCCCTGTGCATCAAAGGGAAGGCCCACAGCTCAGGTGTGGAGCACCTGTTCTGCCTTCTGAAGTTTCCAAGTCCAGTTCGGAATCAGATGCTGGGAGACACCCAGGAAGAGGCTGCCTGTCAGTGCAGGTCACACTGGGCAGCCGGAGAGAGCTGTTGGAGCCAGCAGCACCGTTCCACAAGCCCAGCCCGCGAGCAGGAATGTCTGAACTGGTTCCCGGCCCAGCAGCTGGGAAAAAGGGTTTTTCAGGGGATAATTCAGGACAAGGGCAGGGTTGGTGCAAAGTGAGGAAGAATGCCCTACTCTTTATTAGAAAACATTCCACAGACCTCTGACGGCTCATAGCAGAAAAAAGAGAACAAGGAGGGAGGGAATGGCTCACAGAACCCACGGGATCTCGGGGCTTTGTGGGCGACAGCAGTTCTTGTGGGTCTGTCCCCAGCAAGGATATCACGACTTGGTCAGCCCCGCTCTGTGCATCCCGCAGGCATCCTCCAGAGGTGCCCAGATGTGTCTTTGAGGACATGAGAAGCGTGAAGCCAGTCCGTGTGTTCTTCCTTGAGGTAGCTTACAGTTTGATGACGGTTCTCCACCCAACACCTTCCTTCCATTCTTGGGCGCTAACGGCGTTCCTCTCTAGCTACCGTGCCACTACTGGAGCCGAGGTGGCCCCATCGCACTTCGGGGCGGCCTAGGCCGTCAGCCCCAGCAGCTTCTCACTGAACTCCCAGAGCTTCCTGGCCAGGGCATCGTCGCGGGCATGCGGAGGGGGCTCTCGCAGCTGGCAGTCGCTGAAATAGCGCCCGCTGAGCGTCTCGATGCCTTCCTGGGTGGCACAGTACACGGAGGTCTGTGCGCCATTTGTGGGGTCTTTGAAGAACAGCCAGGCAATGGGGTTGAAAAAGGGCTTCAGCCAGACAGGCAGGAAGCGGAAGATGGCGGTATTGACCACTCCTGAAAGCAAGAGGGGGGGTTAGGATAGAGCGGGATGGCCGTTTCCGTTGCCACGGAGCTGCCCCTTCTCCCCAAATTAATTCTGACCACCCGCTCTCCCACTTAACCCCCCCAGCATATGAACAATCCTAGCCTCTGTTCCACCAGCCTGAATTCCAGTATTAGCCAGCCCTTGGCCATCTAGGGTCCCGTCCTGCTTAGGCAGAAAAAGATCCTAGTGTCCAGGCCTCTTAATAACCCATCAACAAAGGTACTCAAGCTGCCCCATCAGCCTGATTCTTGATTTCTGAGTAAGAACACGGCTGGCTGACTTGAACTGAGCCTCTCCTGCAGCCCAGAGTGGTAGGCACCAGCCGGCAGAGTATCAGTCCTGGGTTTTGGCAGCTTTTCCCCAGCCCTGCCAAGGAATGCTCAGAAATAAGCCACGTGCCAGGGCCTCACCCAGCTTGGCTGGCCAGGACCCTTTGTTTGGGGAGAGCTAGTATAGGCTTGATCACTTCCTGGAAAATAGATGGGGAGGAAATGGAGGTAGTGACAGATTTTATTTTCCTGGGCTTCAAGGTCACCGCAGATGGGGACTGCAGCCAAGAAATTAAGAGACGCTTGCTCCTTGGGAGGAAGGCTATGGCAAATCTAAGCATACTAAAAAGCGGAGACATCACCCTGCAAACAAAAGTGCGTATAGTCAAGGTGATGGTTTTCCCAGTTGCAATGGATGGCTGTGAAAGCTGGACCATAGAAACATAGAAACAGTGAGTCAGAAGGGGCCTCCCGGGCCATCTAGTCTGACCTCCGGCACCAGCCGGCTCCGCTCACAACATGCCCACCATGTGGATGTCCAGCCTGTCCTTGAACACCCGCACCAATGGGGCCTCAACGACCTCTCGTGGAAGCCCATTCCACACCCTCGGGGACCATAAGGAAGGCTGAGCGCCGAAGGATTGAGGCCTTTGAATTGTGGTGCTGGAGGAGATGCCTGTGAGTCCCCTGGACCACAAGGCGATCAAACCGGTCAGTCCTAGAGGAGATCAACCCTGGCTGCTCTTTTGAAGGCCGGATACTGAAGATGAACCTCAAATGCTTTGGCCACCTAATGAGAAGGAAGGACTCCCTGGAGAAGAGCCTGATGTTGGGAACAACTGACGGCGAAAGAAGGAGGGGACGGCAGAGGATGAGGTGGCTGGATGGGGGCACTGGGGCGGTGGGTGTGGGCTTGGGTGGACTCCAGGGATGGTGGGGGACAGGAAGGCCTGGAGGAACGTTGTCCACGGGGTCGCGATGGGTCGCACGCAGCTTCGCAACTAACAACAACACCGAGCGTAGGCTTCCCCAGCAGAGCAGGCCTCCAGAAATGCAGAATCGAGGTCCGAAACCGAGGGAGCACCACACCCACCTGGATGAAGAGCGTAACAGGTGACAATGGTCCCCTCCAGCCGGTTGGCCAGCTCTCGGGCGTAGAGGACGTTGGCCAGTTTGCTGTTGCAGTACGCCTGGAACGACAGCAGCTTCCCTTCGACCGGGCTGTGGACCTTCTGGAAGTCGATGTGCCCTCTGTGACAGGCGTTGGAAGCGACCACCACCACCCGGCTGGGCGCACAGTGCTTGAGCCGGTCCAGGAGGAGGTGAGTCAAGAGGAAATGACTCAAGTGATTAACCTGGAATGCCAGGTTGAGACCATCCTCGCTTCTGCCTCCACAGGCAATGCCTGCCGGGGAAAAAGCCACGTTAAGCCATCTCCAAGCAACTTCTCGGGCTCAAGGAAGGTCCCCAGCTGGGACCACCCCAAGGAATCGAATCGGGGGGGAATTTGTGGCTTTTATCAACCATCTCGAGGGGCCCCGTGGGCTCCTCCTCCGAGACGCAGGAACCTGGCCGCATCCTTCGTTGGTCAGGAAAATGGGGGAGATCGGCCTCCACCCTGGGACTCTGTGCTCACCGGCGTTGTTGATGAGAATGTCGAGACGAGGCTCAGATCTCAGGAAAGCGGCAGCGAAAGCCTGCACCGAGCTCAGGCTGGCCAGGTCCACGCTCATGAAGAGAACTTCATTGTTCCCGCTTTCCTGAGGGCGGAGACAGAAGAACACGCAGAAGCGCTTCAGGACCTTCCCGGGGCCTCGCAGCCACGCGAGGGAGGCAGTGGTGTTGCTCCGCTACTCGAAACAGGCGGAAAAGGACATCCCGAAGAGGTCGGCCATCCCGCCAGTTCCCCGAGAAGTTGAACTGAAGCACCTGACCTTGGGGCGACCGTCTCCTGCTCCTCCCGCATCTCAGAATCTTGCCTGGCCCATGCTCCCCAACCTCCCCAAAATGAGTTTCACGTTCTGATCCCCGGCCGCCGGAATGCAGCCCGTGGGAGCGGTTGCCGAGGCTGCCACCCCGCACTCCCCGGAGGGTGCCGGACCATATGACGGGCCGCTTCGAGCAAGGCGGACTTTGGCGCTTACCCTCCTGATGTCATAGACGGCCACTTCGCCCGCCGCTTTGTTACGGCAAGCCAGGATGACCCGGGCTCCTCTCCGGGCCAGATCCAAGGCCGTCGCCTTCCCAATCCCGGCATTTCCACCTGGAAAAGTTGGGGGACGCGTGTGATCTGGAGCAGCCCCATAAGCGCCTCCCAGCACCTGCTCATTTGGGGCAGGAAGGGGCAACCGGTCGTGTCCCCCCCCCCCCCCCCGTGGAAGGTAAAAGCTCGGTGCGCTCCGCTGCCGCGGCTCGGGGCACAACTAACGCAACGGCAACGCAGCCGCAACAGTTCGCGCGGGAAACCCCGACCAAGAAGCGGGGCCGCTTCGCAGGGTGAGTCCCTTCTCCGCATCGGTCCCGTTCCCGATCCGTGCGATGCCTCCGGCGGGGGAGAGAGCCCAGGTGCGGCCCGCCGCAGCAGCGCACAGGTGGGGATGATGGGCGACGAAGTGCGACGCAGGTTTTCCCCGGAAGCGGGCGGCCCGGATCCTAAGCGGTGCCCCGCACCACGCGGCCTTACCCGTGATGAGCACCGTCCTGCCCCGGAGGCTGGTCTCGTTCCTGCACCGCGCGCCCTTGACGCAGTTGTAGTAGAACAGCGCGTAGGATCCGAGCAGCAGCGCCGCGCCGACCAGCGCGCCCTCCAGCGCGACCTCCGCCATTGCGCGCCCGGGTAATGCGTCGGGAGCGCGCCCCGGAAGGGGAGGTGGGCGCGCTCCCGGCCCGCCCCTCCCGCGGCGCGCAGGGCAGCGCAGGGCAGCGCAGGGCGGGCGCGACCGCCGGCGCCATCCTGCACGCCCGGCGCCGCGCAGCCTCCCGGAGGGCGCCGGGCCGGGGCGAGGGGAGCCCCGCGCGCGATCCTGCGCCGATTCCGAGAGGAAGGCTGCGATGGCCTACAACTCCCGGCATTCCTCGCTTCCCCGTCCCTCGAGCGGGATTGCTCGCTCCGCCGCCAAAGTGCCCTGGGAAATGCGGCATCCGCGGGAAGCGCCGCAGCGAACTTTCCAAGAGGACGCAAAGGGCGCAGGGCGAGCCTCGGGTTGCATCCTGCCGCTTTTCCCTGTCGGGGACTCCCGGCGGCTGCGGGGTTCCCCTCCTCTCGAAGTTATCCTCACAACACCCCTGCGAGGGAGGCCGGCTGAGAGGCTGCGCCTGGCCCGGAGCGTCTGCGCCCCGGTCCGTGGCCTTCACCACCCGCCGCCGCCGTGACTGTTGGCTGCTCCAGCCCGGTGCAGTGGGTGCCTTCCAGGCGCCGTGAAAAGGGCCCCCCAAGCTGAGCCCCCCCAGAGAACCCTCGCACCGCCAGCCACGGCCGCCCCAGAGCACCGGAGGCAATGGGCTAGGCCGTGCCAGCGGCAAGCCCTCTCGCCCAGGCTGGCGGCCACCGGATCGTGCCAGCGGCAAGCCCTCTTGCCCAGGCTGGCGGCCACCGGATCGTGCCAGCGGCAAGCCCTCTCGCCCAGGCTGGCGGCCACCGGCTAGCCAACGCCTGGGAAACGCGGTGCCGCCAAGCCCGCATCATGCAGGGGGTGATGAGAAGCTGCCCGAGGTCCCTTCTGCCCAGTCTCCTGGGCCAGGGCAGGGCGTGGGCACGGGTATCTCCGGGGTCCTTTATCACCTGCCGCTTTCACCAGCTGCTGACGGTGCTGTGGGGCATCCCCAGCCCCACCCGGTCCTTGAAGCCTCTTGCCGGCTCTCAGTTTGCGACAGGCAGCTGCTTATCCCACCCGTCGGTGGACGTGGAACGGGAACCCGAGATAAATCCCTTTCCTTTCCTTCGGGCTGGATGTGGCGGCAGGGGCTGCAAGCCCCCCACCTCCCGGCACACCCCGTTCTGGATTTCCAAGCGGCTCACTTGCGCCGTGAGCCCGGCTTGGGAGAAGGGCGCCCCGCACAGAGCGGCTCGGGCTTCCCGTGGCTCAGACCCCACAGGGCTCTCCCGAGTCTCCGTCCAGCGTGGTCTCTCTCGGCCCCCGTGCGTACCGTCAGCGGCACGCACAAGCAGCCCTCGCGTCAGCCCCCAGCGCCCACAAACGACCCCGCGCGGGGCACACGGTGCAAAATGCCATCACGGGAGGGAGACCGAGGCCACAAGCCCCGTTCGCAAGGCCCACATAATTCGGCTTGTATGGTGCCAAGTGAACCCCGTTTGGGGAGGAGTTGGAACCGCGCACGCGGCCACCCGGGCATGCAGGGGCCTTTCCAGGCGAGGGGCACACGCTTGCAGTGCCTGGGCCTACCTGTTGGCATGTCCTCCCAGCACGGGAAGGGCTCTCAGGCCCGAGGCCGCCCGGCCGCAGGAATCCAGCCCGAAGCGTCCACCTCCTTCTTGGGTCATCGGCCCCACTGCCTGACCACTCTCACTGCGAGAGAGTTTCTCCGGCCGTGCAGCCGGGGACTCGGGCGCGTCGTGTTGCACCCCAAGGCCTCAGAGGGGGCGCTTCTGCACCGGGACCCCCCCCGGGGTCCCCTCGGCAGCCGTCTCTCCTCCTCCAAACAGGCCGCGCGCCTCCCGCATCTCGCAGGGCTCCGTTTCTAGCCCTTTGGTCAACTTGGCCACGCGCCCCGAGCGCCTTCCGGTCCTGACTGGCTGCGATAGCCGAGCTGGGCCCGGGCAGCTGGAGAGGAGTGGGAGGACCGCGTCGCGGGGTCCGGGACCACCCCTGCTGGCGCGGCCATCGCAAAGGCGGCCGCCACCTCCTGGTTTGGTGTCTTTTCTCACGCTGGCCGACTGCCCTGGCCAGGCAGGGCGGCTGGGGAGGCAGTGTGAGAGGCACGGCCAGAACCCGCAGCCGCTGAGCTTTGGGCAGGGAGTCCCGCGACTCCACGGACGGAGACAGGGCCTGGGCTGCAGCCGGAGCGCTGGCCCCCGTGCCCAGGGATGCCCCCGGCCGCCTCGAGCGCCCCCCCGCCCCTGCGGCACCTTCTCCCCCTGGCGACGCTCTGCTAGGCCCCGAACGCGACACGGACACAACATGGCAAGCTGGACGTGCACCGAGCGACACACAAGGGCAGGCCGAGCGGAGGAGGCCGGGCGCACTGGATGGGGCCGCGCTGCAGGGGGGAGGCGGGTGCGCCAAGGTGGCTTCCCCGGCAGAGGCCCGGGTGAGCCGGGGCAGGAGGGGCAGCTGGCGCAGAGCTGCCCACCGCTTTGCAGCAGCCTTCCCCGCCCTGGTGCCCCCCCACTGGGCACGATGGGAGATGCGGCCCGACGCATGTGGGTGGGCCCCACTGGACAGCCCGTCCGGGGACCTGAGGGGGGACGGCAGCCCGGGTGCACCACCACCCGGGGGAGCGCAGGCCTCGGGGCCGGTGCCCTGGGGGAGCGCCGGGGCAGGCAGGCGGGCGGGCAAGGAGAGCAGTGAAAGAAAAGGCAGGCGCAGGCCCGGCCCAGCTGCGCGGCGTTTTAAGCATTATTATGTGAGTTTATTAATACAGACTTTAATGCCATTGGAACAGTCATGAAACCTTTCTGTTTTTATACAAAAAAGATCAAAAACAAGAGCATTAAAAACATTAAGAACTCAGCAGATCTCGCCTCCGGGACGGAGCGAGTGGACGCCAGCGGTCTTCCCACAGCCTGTCCCCGCCAGAGCCTCCTGGGAGCAGAGGGGCTTGGCCTGCCCCATGAGGCCCTACGAGGATCCTGATGTGCAGTGCGGAGGGGGAGTGGGCGACCGGGGGCGGGAGGAGAGAGAGGAGCGAGCACGGGTGGGCAGTCCTCGGAGACCGCTGGGAGCCGAATCTTCACATGGTGAAGGAGAAACTCTTGACCCTGGGGGTGCCAGCCCTGGGAACCCCTCCGCCGGAGAGCCCGGCGTGCGGGGCTTCCTTTGCCGCTGAGGCAGGGAGTTCCAGAGTCTCGACAGACAGGCGGACACCAGCCAGCGGCCGTGGTTTGCTGTTTTATATACAGAATACAGGAAAAAAAAGTTTCTGTAAAGCCTAGAACATCGCAATTACTTCTGTACATCAGAACTTAGCTGAGAATGGGGCGGCGGGGGGGGCGAGGGAGGGGAGGGAGGTGTCGGGACAGGAGGACGAAAACCGGGCTTACGACAAAGAAACGCTTTGCTACAACAGGACAACTGGAGGCAACATCATACCACATGGAGCACTGTACACAGCTTAAAAAACACGGGAGGGTGGCCGTCGGAGGAGGTATTTACACAGAACCCCAAATACTTCTTCATTATCTGAAAACAGGACGGAGAGCAGGAATTAAGCGCGTGCTCCCACTGCCCACAATATACCGAGTGCGACTTGCAGTGGGGAAGGAAGAGGCGCAGGAGGGGTGGGAGGGAAGGAAGGAAGGAGGAAGGAAGGAAGGCAGGAAGGAAGGAAGGAAGGAAGGAAGGAAGGAAGCTGCATGTAGCGCATCTTTACATTAAATAAAACCATGATCATTGAATAGTTTTTGCTGTATGAAAACTGTATTTCTCTCTTTTTTTAATATAAAAACTATTGTCACTGGCACAAAATAGAACAAGGTTTTGATTATTTTACAACTGCAAGGGAGCGCCTGGCCGGGCGGAGCGCCCTCGAGCTGCAGTTTCCTTTTTGTTTGTAAATGAAATGTATAATACAAATATATGTGCAAATGCCCCTAAAACTTGAGCAAACCATAAAAAAAAGTAAAGTTCTTCACTTCATGCAAAGGGCGTCAACAGTCTGCGGCCCACTTTGGGGGGGGGGTGTCCAGACGGGCGCGGCGTGCGTCCCTCGCTCTCCGGAGGCGCCCGGCCCGGCCCGGCCCGGCCCCCCGCTCTAGGGCACCGAGTTGGAGCGCAGCACCGGGACCTGGTGGGCCTTGGGGGACGGCTTCTCCTCCAAGTCCGTGTCCTGCGCCAGGGCGGCGGCGGCGTCCCCTCGGGGCTGTTTGGTCGCGAACTCCGTGATGCTGAAGACGAACTGCAGGCAGCCCAGCTTGATGTAGCTGCCGTGGTGCAGCAGGGCGGTCCCCTCCCAGCCGGCGCCGCTGCCCCCGATCAGGCTGGAGCTGCTGGCCTTGCAGCCGCAGGGCCTCGGCGGCGGCCCCTGCGCCTGGGCCCTCATCACCGCGGCCTCCGCGCCGGGCTGCTCCTCCTCCGGCTGCTTCCGGCTCTTGTGGCGCTCTGGGGGCGGAAAACACAGGGCGGATGCACGGGCCGCGCGGGGACGCCGGTGCTTCGGGCCGAACGGGACCCAACTTCCCTGAGCGCCCAGCCCAGCCCAGCCGGGCCGGGCCACCGGGCCTCCCCTCCTGCCTAATTTGCCCCGCGCTCTTCAGGGAAGGGGCTGGAAGCCCCTCCAGGCACGGAGCATTGTTCGGCCACTCTCTCTCGCCGCCACGGAGTCGAGCAGGCGCAGCCCCTGCCAGCCGCCCCCTTTCAGCCACATCTGTGCAGCTGCGAGGCCCAGAAAGCATTTCATCCCCTGGTTGTCAAGGAGACCCCGCAAGTCCTGTTTCTCGGGGAAAGGGGCCGCCACTCCGCGGACCCCCAGGGCTGTGGTCAGCGCACGCACGCATGCGCGAGGGGGAGGGAGGAGGCGCTGCAGACCGGCACGCCTCTCGTGCGGTTACGCATCAGGAGGGTTTCTAAGCCGTCTTTCTCGCCGGAAACGAACACACACGGCAGCCTACAATCTCTCGAGAAAGAGAATGCAAGCAACATTGACAGTGGTCAAAAATGACTGGGACCGTTTTGAAAAAAGGAAGGCACCGAGAGCAACAGAAAAGATGCCAAGAGGGCCTTTCCCAGGAGCGGGCCAGGAGGCTGCTGAAGAGGGTGCCTCGGCCAGGGCGCGGCAGGCCAGAGGTGGGGCGGGGAATTCCCCGCGCCAGGCAGTCGCCACGGCGGCCTTTTCCCAGGCCCCGGCCGCGAACGGGGCGGCGAAGGAGCTCCGGAACCGGTACTGAAAGCGGGCAGGGGGCATTCGCTGAGAAAAAATCGGTCCCCCAAAGTAACTTTGGCCCGAGCATTCCTCTGCGGACTGAGAAGCCCCGTCCTTTCGTAGCCACACCTGACGCACGGGTGTCCCCCGCGGAAGGGAAGGAAGCCCCGGCTGTGCCGGGGCTCTTGGAGGGGAAAGGGGGGCCAGCAGGGAGCCCCGGGGTGCAACGGGCGGAAGCAAGCAGGCACCCCCCAGGCTGGCTACACATGGAGACCGCAGTTGCCTTGCTCTTCCCTTTCGCTAACGAGTTCGAAGCGAGCAGGCGAGCGCCGAGTCTGGGGAAGACGAGTGTCCCGGGGAGCCCTCTGAGCACGCGGGGTGGGTGGGGAGGGGCCGCCCTGCCCAGAAGTGGACGGGGCCGGGGGGGGGTGCCCAGAACTTACTGATCACGCTCTGTACTTTGGCAACCAAGCTGCTGGGAGGGGCGAGGGCAGCCTTCTCCGAGAAGTCGCACGAGTACAGGACGTTGTCCACGGTGGTGCCGTGCTCGCTGTAGTTCAGCAGCTCGTAATGCTTGGTGTTCTGCCCGGGGGAGCGGAGACCGGCCGGTCAGGCCACGGGATGGCCCGCCCTGAAGGGCTCTGGGCAGGAAGGAGCGCCCCCCTCCGGGAGCTACGCACGCCCCCCCGCCCCAGCCCCTCCACCGAGCCACTTCCGCGTCTCCCCGGCAGAGCGGCCACGGCGGGGGGAGGGGGGGGACACCCACCTCGTCGTAGAAGATGCACGCGTGCTTCCCCGACACGTAGTTGCAGTGGCCGTAGTTCGTAAGGCACACGTCCATGTCCGCTCCTGCCGGGGGGGGACCAACACGGCAGTCAGGGACGGCCCATGACACAACCCACCCCCGGCCCCCACCCCCGTTTCCCAGGCCGGCGGGGAGACTCGTCCGGGCGCACTGCCAGCGGGCGTCCCTCGCAGCCGGGCTGCTCCCCGCGTCCGCGCAGCGCGGGCTGGGAAGCGACGGGCACCCTCCCTCCCGCCCGGGCGGGTGGGCTAGCTAGCCCAGCAGCCGCTGGCCCTTGCCTGTCCCGATGTAGAGCGTCCGGTAGCACATGTTCACGGCACTGCCCAGCCCCAGCAGAGGGTAGAAGACGGCCCGGGCCTGCACCTGCTTCCTGGGCCCTGCAAGAGAGAGGCGGGCTCGGTGCCACGGGCCGCGGGGAGGGGAGGGGAGGGGAGGGGAGAGGAGAGGAGAGGAGAGGAGAGGCCCGCCCAGGCCCAGGCCCGGCCCCCCCGCCCCCCGGGGCAGCCTCCGCTTCCTTCCCGTCCGCGAGAGCCCCGCCGGGCCAGGCCGATGCCCACCTTCAGCAGGGCCGCGCCCCGGACCGGGCTGCTGGGCCCCGGCGCTGCCTGCGAAGGGCTGTGCTTTGGACGGGAACAGCTGGTGTATTCTCTGCAGAGCCAGGAACTTGATCAGCTTCTCGTCCAGCAGGTTGATCTCAATCTCTGTCGGCGAGAGGCGGCGCCGTGAGCGGAGCGTGCGGGGCAGGGGAAGGGGCCGGGGCCGGGAGCAAGGTGCCGCCCCACAGGCCAACGGGGCTCCCGAGGACCGCAGGGACGGGGCACAGCTTGGCCGGAAGTCGGCCCTGCCCGGGCCTCTGCCCAGGGAGACCACCCCCTTGGGCAAGGGAACCGAGAGCGCGTCAGGCAGGCCGGGAGGCAGCCACCCGGGGGGCCTCCGAGCCGTCATCCCAACCTCTCCGTGCTCCCTGGGCTGGCGCCTTTGCCAAGGGCCGATGAAGAGGAGACAGGCCGCAGGGGGGCCCACGAGGAGCAGCCCTACACCCCCCGTGCCCCACAGGACAGGAACAGCCGTGCTTCCCGGTGCCCACTCGGGCCGGGCGCCTGCCGGGGGCTGCCCAAATCCAGTCCTCGCAGGAGCAGGCACACCGGCCAAGGTGACGAGGGGGCAGAGGCCTCCTCTCGCGCCACCCACCCCCTGGGCAGGAAAACGGCCGCCCTGCTTCCGGGACACCGGAAGGGGAGAAGCAGCCACTCACCGCCGCTGCCGTCCATCAACGTCTTCGTGGAACCTGCGGCATCCACCGTGGCGGAAGCGCTGGACAGGAGGAACGAGGGGGGTGCCAAAATGCTTCCTATGTAGATGGGGCCCGGGCTCCCCTTACCATCTAGTGGAGGAGGGAGCCGTCAGTCGGGCCAGAGGCCTTGCCCCCGACACCCCCCCACTTGAAATTTCACAAAACTCCTGGATCTGCTGCTGACCGAACGCTTCGGAAGGGAAGGCCCCGCTCTGTCCGCGCCCTGTACATCGACCCCGAACCCTCCGGGAGCAATAGGCTACGGTGTGAAACGTCCGTGAAAGACGTCCACTCAAACCCGAAGCAAGTTCTGAGTTTCTGAGCCTCGTGAGCCCTCCCTTTCTGGGTCCGAATCAAACTCTTGGAATTATCCACATATATATTGCAACCCCTTTCAGGCCAAGCTACTGCTCTGCTCTTTTATTATTTGCGTTTCGCAGTTACTAGTCTTAGCGCTCGCACTGGGCATGCCTGCTCCGGGGAGGGAGGTTCCAAGCTGGAGCGTGGCCGCCGGGGTGAGGGCCGGGCGTCGCGCTCCACAACAGATCACCGGGGGCTGCACGCCGAGCCCCCCCCTGCTCTGGGGCCTCCACGACAAGGGCAGAAACACCCCTCGCGGCCCCCCGGCCGCGCGGATGATGTGTTGCCAGCGGGAGAGGAAGCAGGGCAGTCCCGGCCAAGGGGCACCTGCCTCAAACCGGGCCGCGCGACAGCCCTGCTGACCACTCCCTGGCCTTCTCCGTGCAGAGGAGCCCCCCAAAGCCCCCGGCGGTGCCGCGTCCCTCCCCATTGTGGCGACACTGGGAGCTGCCTCGCCCCCCCCGGGTGGCCTGGCAGTGGTGCTGCGCCCGCGCTTGCCCTCCGGGCCCCCGCCTCGCCCAGGGGCCCTTCCGGACAGAGCCGGCGCCCTCACCTGGAGGTGGTGCTGGCGAGCAGAAGCCGTGCGGCGCTCCGGTGGCCGAGACCCCGTCGCCCACGGCGGCCTGGGGAGGGGTGAGGGCGCGCGTGGCTGTGGGAGGGGAGTCCATCGCCCCCAGGTCGGCCGCCAGCAGGGCCCCCATCTGGGCCTGCGGGGTCTTCCGCTGGAACGTGCCGGCGGCCTCCAGGCCGGCGCACGCGCCCGGGAGCGAGGCCGGCATGCCCGTGGCCGGCGCGGAGCCCCGGTGCGTGCACGGGACGGGCCCCGCCGCGTTCTCCGTCTTCACCACCGCCCCCGTCAGGTGGTTGAGGAGCCCGCACGCGGCCGGGGGGGTGGTGGGCCGCGGCCAGGGCTGCTGCCGGTGGGACAGCGCCGCGACCGAGCTGCCCGGGCCGCCCGGCCGGGGGGGGTCAGTCAAGTGTGCCGCGGCGTCGCCGTAGAAGTGGGGGCCGTTGATCTTCACCTCCGCGGCGGCGCTGGGCCCGTTGGACGTTCCGCAGGGGGACGCGTTCTTGGGCCTGTCCGTACAAGGGGGGTAGTGGGCGTCCTCCTGCAAGGAGTTCTGGGGGGCGAGCCCCGCGGTGCAGGTGACCGAGCAGACGGAGGGGACGCCGGCCTTGTCGGCGGCCGGGTACGAGCCGGCCAGGGAGCCGTCGGCCACGAGCGCCGGCTTCACGTCCGCCTTTTCCGAGTCCCACGGGGAGGGCATCTGCTTCGCAGACAAATGCTTGAGGATGCTGCACTGCAGGGCGACGACGCTGCACAGCCACTGGGGGGGGGGAGAGCTGCGCATGAGGAGACGGGGGGGCCGCCGGGAGCACGGCACACGCCCCCGGGGGCGGGCCGGAGACGGGGAGGAAGAGGCGCCCCGACCTCGCGGCCGCTTGCCTGGGTGAGCGTCGGCCCCACTGCTCCAGGCAGAGCCTAGGTGGGGGCTTCGCTCCGGCCTGGCTCTTCCGGGGGCCAAGGAAGGGGCTCTCTGCGCCCGGCACCGTTTTGCCGCGAGGCCGCCCAGGGAGGGCGGGAGGAGCCTTTGCCGGCTGCGCCGCCGGGGGAGCCGGTGCCCCTCCGGCCGTGGGTGGGCAGGCGAGCCGGCCCTGCCCTTACCTCTTGCTGTTCCGCCGGCGTGGCCAAGTGCTCTGGGCGGCAAAGGTGCTTCTGCGAGGGCTCCTCGGGGACCCCGTTGCAGATCAGCTCTCCGTCTCTGATGGCCGCGGGAGCCAGCAGGGGGGGCGGGAGCCGGTACTGGGACTTTATCGCGTCGGGCACCTGTGGGCAAAGGCGGGCGGGCGGGCGGTGGGGAGAGAGCACGGGCGGGCGCTGTGAGGCGAGACCCTTCCCGCCTTTCCGCTTGCACAAGTTCCGCCCCAAGCGTGCCGGCTGGCGAGCGGGAGCAGCCCTCCCTCCCTGGCCTGGGAGGGAGGCCCGGCCACCCGCCGGGTTTTGCAGCCCCCCGCGCACCCACCTGCAGCCCCTTCCGCTTCGTCGCCTGCGTCACGCGGCGGTTGGGAGGGTGCTTCTTGTGGATGCGGTTCAGGAAGTCCACCTTGACCACGTGCTGGGAGATGGCGTCCTGGAAGCGGTCGAAGACGCGGCACCGGTTGCTCAGCGTCATGTTCTTCTGGTTCAGCTGGAAGAGAGACGGCGCCCTGTGGGCTGCGAGCCGCGGTGGCAGCCACGGCCGGGCGGGGGGGGGGGGGGGGGGGGGGGGGGGCGCGGCGGGCCCCGGCTTACCACCACGTGCGCGATGTGGTTCGGGCACATCCAGCGGCCCAGGGGCATGGCCGTCAGGGGCGGCTGGAGGCAGTCCATGTGGAACAGGAGCGGGCAGTAATCGCACTGGATGAGGGGGGCCACGCGGCAGCTCCTGGAGGGGCGCAAGGCGGGTGGGGAGAGAGGGAGAGGTGTGGGGGGCTGCCTGGCACCAGGCCAGGGAGGCAGCAGAATGCCCGGCCTCGACTGCCCCCCAGGGAGGCCTGCAGGACAGGGGAGCGGCTCCCCGGGGACCCCCGCCCCCATCCTGGGCGCCGGGCGTGCCCGTTCAGGCCGCTGCCCCGAGCCGCGAGGCCGAAGGGGGCGGGGGAACGGCCTGCGACACCCCTGCGAGGCTGACGCGCCCCGGGGATGCCCACCTGCTGCAGGTGAAGCAGACTTTCACCGGCAAGGGGACCAGCCCGTTGTGGTCCAGCTCGTGCTGGGCCCTCTTCACGTTCTTCCCGGTCGTCTCCTCCTTCCTCCTCCTCTTGCTGGTGCCTGGCAGGGGAGAGGGAAACGAGCCCCCGTTGGTCCAGGGCCGGCGCAGCTTGGGGACAGGTGCAGCGGCCGGCGGGGGCCGGGAGTGCCTGCGTGGGCTGCGGCCGCGGCAGGCCCCTTCAGCGTGGCACGCGCCCTCACCTGGCAGCGCCGTGGTGCAGGTCAGCTCGTTGGGCAGCTGGAACTGCGTTGGGTTCCTCTCCATGGCGGCGGCGATGAGCAGCTCGAAGGGCCGCTTCAGGTGGGGCTGCCCGCCATCGGGGTCAGTGGCAGGCGTGGCGTCGTCGTCCACGTCCACGATGTCCTCGTCGACGTCGTTCTGCTCCGAGGTGGGCGTCTCCGTGCTGGCGTTGGACGTGGGCGTCCCGGGCCGGCTGGCTCTGCGCTCCAGGAGCCGGGTGTGGGAGAGCGCCCGGAGGCTGCCGCTGCCCGACCGGTCCAGGTAGTCGGCATCGCCGGAGGGGGACGCGGTCCTCTTCCCGGACTTCTCCACCAAGCCGTTGACGTGGCCCAGCTCCTTCTTCTGCTCCCTCTTCTGCAAGGCAAGGCAAGGCAAGCGGCTCACAGCCACACGCCGGCGGGAGGGAAGCCCGGAAGCTTCCAGGGCCGTGCGCGTCTCTCCGCAGGCTTGTGCGTGCAGCGTTTCCCCTTACGGCACAAAACTGTGCCTGAGGCTTCTCTCTCTGTGGGTGCCTAGGTCTCTCTGGCCACTCGCTCAAAAGGGGATTCCTGAGGCCACCTTGAAAAGCACGTCTTTTGTCTGTTTTTCGTGCTGATGTCCTGTCTTTCTGATACAATCCTCTTGGTGGAAGAACCAAGCTGAACAAGAGAAGTGCCTCGAAATCACCGTGAGCAGGTGACTGAAGCACGGCTGGCACAGCCATCGATGGACAGGCGAGGCGAAGGCAGCTCTGCTGGAACACGGCCTCCGACTGCCTGGGGCTCCGGCTAACCGTGCTACCAACAAAGGACGTGATCCCGGTCCTTTCAGCTGGACGCTCCAAGATGTGTCGGACTGCAACCCCACCCAGGATGCCCCGGCCAACATGGCTGCCAGAGGATGCTGGGAGTTCACGCCGACACCTCTGCGACGTGCCGGCTTACGAGGAGCTGGTGTGCCAACGGCCACACTGCTGCCTCCGGTCAGAGCCCTCGGAAGCTGCGTTTCGGGGCCTGTCCCTTCCCTCACTATCCTCCACAGGAGCCTCACACAGAGCCTGGGGCGAGAACCCCCGGAGGCCCCCTCGAGATCGGCCACCGGATCCTTTCCCGCCGCAGACGCCGCAGCCTGAACCCGGCGCGCCCTGCCTGTCGCTTCCGCTCCTCCCCGCCTTCGGGACTCAGCGGGATCCGTGCTGCTGGCGCGCTCTGCGACGGAACGCTTTCAAGGTCACAGAGCGGTGCGGCCGGCAGGAGCGCACTCCGCGCCCGAGGAGGGCCGGGCCAGGAGCCCCGCGCCTGAAACCTCTGGCCGAGCGGGAAGAGAGCCCGGGGCTCTTTCCCAGCCTGCCAGCAGCCCTTTCCCTCCAAGCAGCCCCAGGAGTCAATATTTGCGTTCAGCTGGGCTGCCTGGCCGGCTACAGGAAAGGGCAGGCCTCTCCGGTGACACGCGGGAGAGGCCAGCCCAGTCGCTTCCCTCACCCCCTTTCCCACGAACGAGCGAGCGAGGCAGCCGGAGCTCGCCCCTTCCCCGCTGCTATGGAAACGACGGGAGGTCACGCCACTCTCTCCACGCTAGCCGGAAGGAGCCGGGAGGCTTGGCGATGGAGAGCCCCGCCGTAGCAGCCCTCCTTCCGCGGCTGCAGCCTCCTGGGCCTCTCACGTGTGCGGCGCATCCCGCCCGAAGCCGCTCCGTGCACGTTTGGTCAATCACGGGGCTTGGGGGGCCCGTGGAGCTGCTCTTCCCACGGGGAAGGCAGGCACTCGAACTGTGCGGGGAATCATGGCTAGCGCGCCGTCTGCTCGGCAGTGGCCCGGGGCCTGCAGGCGCTGCGGGCCAGGGAACGCCGTGAGTCGCAACGTCCCTGGAGGCAGCGAGTGGGGCGGCGGGTGGCGCTCCCCTTTCTCTCTCCGCCGCAGCTGTGCAGGCCCCCCTGCTGCCGGGGAGGAAAGGGGCAGGCCCTGCTGAACGCCCGGGGGCCCCACGAGCGGTTACCTTTCTGCGCACGGTGCAGCGGTGGCACATCCACTCCCCGGGGGGAAGCATCTCCTCGCTCAGTGGAGGATTACTACGGGAGAAGACAAGAGGCTGTTACTTCTCGACGGCAACACCCCGAGAAGCTTCCCGTTCGCTCCAGGGCCTCCACAAGCCGCCAGGCGGGCCTCTGCGCAGTGGGGACCTCCCTCGTGACCCACGGAGCCGCCCCCTCCTAAAGTTTGGCTGCTGTTGGCAAGCATTCCGGTCGCGGGGCAGTGGCACCCTCGTCTCCCCACCATAAAGTTCTCCCCCGTCCATGCACCCTTCACAAGCTCCTCCTGAGCAGCAGGAGCCCTGCCTTGGCTTCTCTCCCTCAACGCACCCCAGAAACACGGAGCCAAGAGAGGCACCGCCAGCCGCCCTGCTGGGTTCCTTGGCTGCTGATGCTCAGGGAAGCAGGAGTGCGAAGGGGCAGAAAACAGTCGTGTGCGTGAAGGGGAGGAGTAGCGAGAGGAAGGAGCTGAAATGCAGAAGTCCAGGCCAAGCTGCAGGAGGAAAGCACGTCAGCAGAGAACCAGAGGATGACTGCTCCAAATATGGGACGTAGAAAGAGACCTGAGATGGAACACGCCGCCATCTTCAGGACAAACAGATGCATGGGGATGGAAGCGCTCATGATCTCCGGCCCAGAGCATAGTCAGGGAACCCATGCGGCACAGCAGGCAGAGTGGAAGGGGCTCCAGTGCCCCAGTTCCCCATTCTGCCACGAGGCCCCCTCAGCCTAACGCCCCCCACAGGGATGCTGCAAAGATAAGAATGAGTCACACTGTTGTGAGTTCCTTCAAAAGCGTGATGCGAACACAGCTCGCTAACAGGAATGGATTCGCGGGCCGAGACACACGACCGAGCACCAAATCTGACGCTCAATCAACAGATCAAAAGCGGACTGCAATGAAACTCCAGCTCCCCACAGATGGCCGGGGGCCCGTGGACGGCCACCGCCCAGCGACTGAAAGGTGCCGCACTGCATGCAAGGCGCAGACGAAACACGCTCAGCTGCCCGGGGGCCAGGAGGTGCTGCCGGGCAGAAATCTGGCTACCAAACAAGCCGGCGTCTGCCAGATGCGTGGCTGCGGCAAAGGCAGGCGCTCAGATCCACCACAGCCACACGCGTCCGCCCACCGCCTTTGGGCAACCTCTCCTCGGTGCTCCTAGTCTGGGCCTGCACGACAGGGTCACTGCAGAAAGCAGCGAGATGGCACCGGGAGGATTTTAAACGCACCAAAGGGCTGAAAGAACGCCACGTGTTCTGATGGAAATTCTGCTCCACCCAAAGTACTTCCCAGGTCGTCTAGGACGGCTTCTCCTTCGCGGAAGACCCCCGCAGACATGGCCAGCAGCTTTCACCTGGTCGCCAGCCTGTGTGACCCAAAGACCCCACGCCAAAAGCGACGGCCGGAAAAATCTGTTATGAGACGACCGATACAGGTGGGGCCGCAGGTGTGAGAGCGCCCCAACCCGTTTGCTTTCAGTCTCCCCTGTACAAGAATCCCAGGCTGGGCTCGTTGTTCACGGCACCTACGGTGGCTCAGGAAATTCAGTCCTGGCCTCAGAGAGACGAGCTGGACGGAGGGGACGCCAAGCAGAATCGCCTCACGCGGCACGGCCGGCACCAGGCGCGGCCTTCGCCCTTGCAAACCGTCCCCAGCAGAAAACCCAGTGCACGCACCGCGGCTGGACTGCAAAGCCGCCATCTGAATTCGCAGGCTCCTCCTCTCAGCACTGGCTGAGGGACGTGAATGGACCGGCGGCAGCAGGCTGGGCCCGGCGGACCTCCTGCCTGCCAGATCCCAACGCTTCCCGCTTTGCCTGTTCGGAATCAGCCACATTAACGAGGCAGGCAGCCATTTTGAGAGCACTGCTCAGGAATCAGGGAAGCGGGTGAACTCCGCAGCTTGGCTGAGCCGGTCTCCAGAGAACAAGGAAAAACCCACACATTAACCATCTTGAGCAAGCCATCCTGGGCAAGCTGGGAAAACCCACTGACAGCCGTGCCTGGCCTCACGCACAAACGCGCAAGAATAGTGGGAAGAGGCAACAAGGGTTGTCCCAAAGCACAACAGCCTGGTAGGGAGACTTGGAAGCGACGAGCCCAACAAACAGCTGCCTGTTGATGATGAATTTGCCGGTTTATCATAGGCTGCAGGGAGATTGAGAGAACGGCAACGATCCAAGATCAGATCTGGCAGGGAAGGCTGCCAGGACACGGGTTGCCTGGAGGTACGAAACGGGCGTTCCAGAGCGCAGCGGAGCAAAATGCAGCTCGGTGAAAACAAGCCCCGGCCTGCAAAGTCAGGAAGACGGTCTGTGCCGAGAGGCCTGACCTCCGCTGCGAGATACCCGCATTCGCCACCCCGGAGGGGCCTCCCCGTAGAATCACATTCCTGTAGGCCTGACCGGTAAGTCCATCATCCCCAGCATCCACCCAAACCACAAAAATGTGGTTGTGTGTAGAAAGCAGCCATGCGCTTCCACGCACCAACAGGGCCGGACCCCGTCATCCAGCGAGAACGCCTGCGGAAACGTCAGGCAGTCGTCACTACGTAGCCTGCCATCACCGGGAAGCATTTTCACGCCCCGCGAGTGCCCGTCCGTCGGGAGCAGGGCAGAGTTAGGACTCTGCAGCTCATCTGCTCTCTGCACAAGGGCTGGAGGAGGTTGGCAGCCCTGCCAGGGGCACGTGGCCCCGTCCTCGGGCAAGAGCGGCTGCCTTGCGCAGACACCGCTGCGCTGCAGGACTGCCCCGGGGAGCCAACAGCGTCCCGGGGTCGGCTGCTTCGACACCGGGGCATCCCTGACACACACACACACACACACACACACACGGGCCTGGCCTCACACGAGAGGCTCCCAGAGGGAGGGGAAACAGCCAGCCCTCCCCCTGCAAGGCGTTGCCCAGCGCACCTGGGCGGCCATCCTCCCTGCGGCTGGCTCCTCCAGGGGTTTCCAGGGCAAAGACCCCTGCAGACAAGCGGCCACAAAGATGTGCCGCCAGCCCACGGCTGACCCCTGCAGACATCTCTCAAAGCAGCAGCGCCCTGCCGCTCGCGGCCCGCGCACACCATTCCAGTGACGCAGAGATGCAGCCAGGCAGTGCCTTTCCTTGCACACCATGACGCTCTTTGTCAGGGTCCTGCCAGCGAGGGAAGAGCGAGGGAAGGAGGGGGGCCAGCAGTGGCCCCAGCGCTTCTGCCACTCCGCTCCCCTCCCCCCCCCAATACCTGCCTAGCCTTTAAACAAATCCCTCAAAACACTCTCCGGCGAAGGGGAGCAGAAACGAACGCCTGCAAACTCTCTGGAACAAAGGCAACGAGGCGGCCGCCAGAGTCGCGTCTAGCTAGCGCGATGTTTATACGTGGAGGCCAGGGGAGGTTTCTTCTGGATAACCCTTCCCCAAATTGGTGCCCTGCAGATGTGCTGGGCTCCGCCTCTCAAGCCGGCCGAGGGCCGCTGGGAGTCGCGGTCCCAAGGGCACCGAGCGAGGAAGGAAAATGCAGGCGTTTCACCGCTCGGGAAGGCCTCCTTCAGGGCCCGCGCCTTGGCTCAAGGGGACGTCCGTGCTGGCAACTAGCCCCATTTGGCGGAACAAGGCCTTCTGGCACGTCTGGCCCATCACCGCAGCAGGCCCGAGCACCGCTGGAAGCGAGCAGGAGCTGTGCTTCACCTCCGACATGGCCGTATGCCAGGGCTATAGATAGGGTACACAGAGATCCGGCAACCCGTTGGGAGGAAAGGTGATACCGAAGGTAAACGCCACGCACGGAGGATCCCTTTGGGTGCCGAAAAGCCACAAACCGCTCGGCAGCGTGATGCAAACAAGGTGCCTTCAGGCACCTCCAGGGCAGCTGCGGAACTCACACGCGACGGCGGTGCTTCGCCACACCAAGTGCGAAGAGCTGCCTGGGTTTCATGTTGCCCGGGAAGGGGAGAAGGAAAAGACCGCCTTGGGCGACCGCTCCCCTCAACGGAGGCGGCTCCGGGCCCTCCTCGCTCGCCACAAGCGGGGCCCAGGATGCCCTCTGGCGATCTAGGCACTGGGCTGGCCCTCCCGCTGCTCCAAGCACACAAGGCTCCCGGAGGAGCCGGCCTGCTCCATACCCCAATGCCTCCTTCAGGGGAGGGGGTGCTGCCTGCCGGGCAAGCAGGCGAGAGCCTTGGGACTGTGCCGTCGCATGCTCCTCTGAGCCACTGCGGAGAGCAACTGGCTCGTCTCTGCATGCTCCCAACACGGGGAGGGAAAGGCCTCTTGTGCAGGTCAGGACGTGGGACCTCCTTCCAGCCTGCGGCTGAAGGACTTGCCCTTTTGGTAAAATGACATGCGCAAGGCCCAGTGCTTCCCCGGAAGTCCCTTATTTTCTCTTCCCCCACCCTTGGTAAACTCAAAGGACCCAAGTATTTGCACAGTCGAGGGAAAAGAACACACACTTGTGCCGGGCTCTGCCCAGCCTTCTCTCCCAGGCAGGGCTTTCCTTTCGCCACACCGGGGAGAGGAAGCGGCACAGCAGCAGAAGGCAACGCTGCTGCTCCGGGACGGCGGGGCCAAGTTACCGGGCCGGAGCGCAGACCTCCAGGGCCTCCGCCGAGAAATGTGCAGGCGGCTGAGCCAACGGCTCAACGTGGCAAGGCATTTTTACTCGAGAGAGGCTTCGGCGCTGGACCCAGAACAAAAAAGCGTTGTTGCGGGCTCTGAATTAGTCGGGTCCTTTGCCAAGCGCAGCCTGGCCTTTGGGTGGGAGCGGCTTGCCAAGAGTGGTGGATCAGGTTCACTTCCTTCTTTTGTGAGCACTCTTTTCCCACCGACTCTTCCGGGGAGTCAGTGCTTGCTTCCTGCCCCCTGGCTTCTTTCTATTTCCAGCAGAAGGCGGGGAGGGAAGTGGGGTCTGCAAACTATTTGCATCACTTATCATCTGCCTTTTCTGGCAAGGTGCCCAGGGGAGCATACAGGTTCCTCACAGCAACCCTACGAGGTAGGCTAGGTTGAGTGCCAGTGACTGGCCCCAAGTCCCTCAGTGCAGTTTGTGGCTGAGAGGG